CATGATCACATTTAAAGAATGCCACCAATATATTAAGACTTTGTGGAAGAGTGGAGTTTGTAAAGTCTTGGCTTTTCAAAAAATAGCTAGCTTTCCTAAAAAAACATTATATAGATAGGTTAAACAACTTGAAAAACAAAAGACTTTAAACAAAAAAGTTGCTCTGGCCATCCAACTTGTCTTACTCCTACCTAACGACATTACTTTAGTCAGATCGTAAAATCTGAAAAATCTGCAACAGGTAGTAAACTAGTGAAAACCTTACAAAAAACCTATTCTGGTCTCAACATTGTAGCTAAAACAGTTAGAAATAATCTTCAAAAGCTTAGATATAAAGTTTACATACCTTGTTTGTTCCCCTACTCATCAAAGAAGCCATTAAACATTTGTATTGCTTGGGCAAAAGCCTACCAAAGAAAAGGTTAAAATAGTGTTACTTTTTCCAATGAATCAACATTTCAAATGTTTCGTAATACAATCCAGGTTCATTACAAGGATAGAGAACCAATTCCAAGTTGTCTAGTTGTAAAATATCTTTTCAAGATTCATGTATAGGGGCATTTTGTACAAAAAGAACTGTCAGCTTTTGCATGTTTACTGAAAATATGAATGGTAAGCTTTATAGAACGATACTAACTGAAAATTTATTTGAGCAAGTACATCAGGTCCTTGGTAATGCATGGATGTTCCAGCAGGACAACCTTTCTTCAAGAACATTGTCTGCAAATTCTTGATTGGCCATCCTATTTGCCAGATTTCAATCTGATTGAAAACTTGTGGACAATAATGAAAAAAAAAGTTGAAAAGGAGACAATATTATGATAAGTGAAAAAAAAATATTACACAAGATATTTTTATGTTGTTGATATCAAAAGAATGGGATACAATTGATAAATTCCTGTGGCTTAAATTAGCAAAATCTATACAGGGCTGTATTATTAAATTATTATTAGAAAATAATGGTCATACAATAAATTATTAAAATTTAATTAGAATAATATATGTATCATAAGACATAACATGTAAAATTTTTAAAAAATTTTAATAAAAATTGGGTGCAACAATCACAATAGTTTAAGTGTCAGTTTTTTCTGCTGGAACTGTAAAAAGAATTATTATTAATATAAAGCATAGTACAATGCAATACCATTTACAAAATCAATGTATTTATTTTCTTTGTTTAAATCTATTCATTCATTTTCTTGATTTAAAATCTCTTTTTCACTCTAGTAATTATTTTCACTATTTTCATTCTTTTCATATAAATCTATAGTCCCACACTCTTTATTTAAATCCATATTTTCACTCTCTAGACTTAACTAAGGTTTTTGTACCCTTGATCTAATCTTGACATTCCATTGATATTATTTATCTATAATTAGTACAAAAATAGTTTAACATTTGAATTACAATTGATTTCTATATCAAAATACTGCTGAAATAACACCTTACTATATTGTAAAAAAACCAATTTGCAACCAATTTGCATTTCGCGATTTCAATAGTTTTTAAGACGAGATTGGCTGATCAGAAATTGTCACATATTTTTATTATGATGAGATCACATGATACCTTACTCTGTCACATAAATTTACTATATGATCGGAACCATATGTATTTTTCTATTTTCTGGTTTCTACCATAATTGTTATTAGCATAAGCCGTCATCTACAGAATTCATGTATTTATTATAATAAATTATTTAATCCAATATTTATTGATATGATGTTTTGTTAAATCAAATTTATTTCTTCTTTATTACAATGAACCAAAAAACCCGTAATTTCATTTTCTCAACCAATCAATAATGAAAGAAAGCATGACAATTGTCGCACAATACTTGTACAATATTTATTAAACCGGAGGATGGATTTGATCTTAATAACGGAAAGCATGACAATTGTTGTACAATATTTATCAATCGATTTGATCCTACCTTACAGCACCCTGAGAGAAGCTGCCACAAAGAAATCAGATACAGTAAATTATTTCATTAGATCAAAAAAATGAAGGAAATGATCAATAGCATTTTACTTTAATTTTATTAATTTAATTTATTTTCTTTATACTTATTTATTTAATTTTTTGTCTCATTTTTATTACGAAATAACAAAAATATTTCCTATTAAGAGAATTAAAAAAAAATCATCATTATTGCACAAGTATGAATGATCTCAAAGTCAAATAAAAAGAATTTGCTTCATAGCTGTTCAACAACACAGAAAAAGGAGATTTTTCTACAGAAAATATACAACTGAACAACGCACATAAATATATTATCCACTTTTCATAGATAAACATAGTGAGATATATAAAAATTAACAATGATATGATTAATTTTTCTATAGAATATATCAAAGATAATTTTATTTACAAAATATAAAATTTAAAAAAAAATAAGGAATAACATTCAAGAAATAAAATGAAAATAAATTATTAAAACTATTTTAAAAAAATCAAGTTCAAGTCCATCATAGAAATCATATAATCTATATTGATTTCGTTCATATCCTATCAGTATAGGAATAATTCTTGATTTTTCTGAAACCAAAACCTGGTGGTGGAGGAGATTGGGTAGAGTTTTGCTGAATTGTTCAACAAATAGTGAAATGAGTTTTCCAATTTTTGCATATTCCGTCAAACATTCTAATTAAAAAAAATATTTGTCTCCACCAATATGAATCTTATAATTGAAAAATTCTATAAATGTGATTTATAACTCATTAATTTCAATAAGACATATATGAGTAAATTCGACCAAGTTTTATTCTTATAAACTGGTTCATTATGCCACTTGTGTACTACCATTAGAGTTATCGTAAAAAGTTGATATTCATTTTTAAAGTTTGCGGTGTTTCTCTCTTTTCATGTACGTTTGTACATATTTAATTGCTATGAAGACAGTTATTTTTTGATAGTTTTACATTTAATATTTTCTGAAATTACCAAAAAAGGTATTAGATGTTAATTTGTATGGGTCTTTTTATTAATTTATAATAAAATGTAAGTACCTTAACACAAATACAACAATATCTGCCATAAAACTGCCCAAAGCATACGAAGTTGGTGCAGTTTTTTTTTTTGCCCAGAATAGATGATAGGTTCTTACATTTTTATAAATTTAGGCTATAAGTAATGTGAGGAAAAAACAGATATAACGTGATTTAAGGAAATCAAATAAGTCTAGAATGTTATTTTAAAGCAAAAATTACCTTGTTTTGTTAAATTTTTAAGAAATGAGTAGAGTTTTTCAAAAGAAAAAATGAATGCTGATCTTATGATCAAATATGATCCTAATAAAAAAAGATATCTTGTGATCTAAAAAATAAAGGATTTTCAGATCAATGTGCTAAAGTTGTGAAACCAAAGAATAAAGAAACTTTATGAGAATAAAATGGAATAATGTAGAAAAAATTTTGATATAATGTAATTACATATGATATTGTACTCATCTTTCAATATCATCCAACTTTTATTTTTTCCAAAATTTCTAAATATGGATTTTGGCTATGGATTGAGTTTCACGAAAAAATTTTGCTAATTATTATTAATTATTAGTTAATCTAATGTAATAATTAGTTATTATTAATGATTCTTAGCCCGATGTACTCAAGCTAAATTAGTTAGAATGGCTGATAAACTTTTTTTTTCGACTGAAACAAAGTATAGTATTATATCAGAAGTATGAGTCAAATAGCATGCATTATCACATCATATGATTATATTATATCAGAAGTTTTTTCTACAGCATTCTATGATATTCTCACTAAGATTCTTTATTTTTTGGTTTCACAATTTTAAGGCAAGATTTTTTGATATAATATTACGGAAATCCTTGATTTTTATGGATCACAAGATAGTTATTTGAGAAAATCATTTTTTTATATGTTTATCAATAAAATAGTTGAAAGTATTATTATAGCTTCATTAGGATTGTCAGGCAGATAAATTTACCTGTTAAATAGTAGCCGGTAAAAACCGTCAATCCATCGGATAGTTATAATTAGAAAACTCAGGTATTGCTACAAACTTTATTAAATAAACTATTAAATAATAATTGTGAATCATGAATTGATTATTATTTATATAATTGTAACCATTTTAAAAGTAAACCGATATATAGATTATTTGTGTAATAAAGAGATCAATCGTGGCATCAGATATCTCATGTATTCACATTTTTATTAACAATTATCATATTTAATTATCACATTATAATTATATTTAATATTCTTTCAAAATAGATTGTAATAATTACATCATTTTTACATCTTTGCATTTGACATGATTTATTGCATTGATCAACACAACTCTTTCTCACTTTTCAAAAACTCTGCTGAAATATTTGAATTTAATTTCAATTAAAAGTAACTATATCAAATTTCTCAAAGATATTCGTTAATCTTTTAAATATCAAAGTAACAGTTTTAATTGAAAAATCAGTTTTATTATTATTATTAGTAGTTAATTATAATGTACAAACACATTGGTACTATTGTTGGTGTTGTAATGGTCATTTCATTCATAGCAGTTTCGGCGACCAAAAAATATTTGTATGCATATTTATTCTCTGTGTATTATCTTAGTAATCTCTTTAAGCATGTTTTATTTTTTAACCATCTATTTGTGTTTATAGTCAACCTAAAGATAACCAAAATAATGAAAGCGAAAAAAATTAAATTCATAAAAAAGGAACTAATGTTAAAAAACGCCCAACACTCTTATCCCGTGAAGGCCGTGCTCTTTCTTCTCTCTGTTAGTATCAAACAGTTGTTATTTTTATTTATTAAATTAGTTATATATATATATGTATATTATAAATAATTAATATTTTATCTTGATATCTAGGGAATTCCAAACGTCCACTTGGTGAATGCAATAAGCCCTTTAAAAGTTCTCCACTAGTTCCTGATGAAGCAAAACAGGATATTAATATTGTAATCTCAAGAAGATACATAAGACCTGCCAATACTTCCGTTCTTAAAATTTATGATCAGGAGATGAACAATCAAGGAGACGATAATCAATATAACAATGAAGAAAGATACGATGATCTATATGAAGAAATATATGCAAATGGCAACTGTAAAAATGGAGAAAGTAACTCTGTTTGTTATGGGAATTCTCCAGACAAAAAATCAGGTGAACTGTAAGTATAAAATTATAAAAATATATATTTAAGTATTTTAATAAATTTAAACTAATGAATATTTTAATCGTTTATTAGTGTTAAGTGTGACATAACTAATGAAGAAAAATCGAAAGCAGCAAATTATTTGATACATTCATTTGATAATTTTGAACAAATGTTAATTCAAGAAGGATATGATATTGAAATTCAACGACCTTATTCTTAAGATTTTTATATATTTAATTTTTATATTATTTGCACTGAAGTACTCCATATTACCGAACTAAATTTGATATTTCGTCATGAACACGATATTTTAAATTGATTTTTACACTATAAATATTTTCTCATTTTTTATTATAAAAATTTATACGTTATTATAATTGATTATAAAAATACATTTATCATAAATATAGTAGCTTTATTATTGAATGATGAAAATTAATTTATTTATTAATGACAAGAGTTAAAGAAAATTCAACATTCTTTCGCTTATAATGACGAAGTTATACGGACTCTCATGGAATATATAATTTGAGCATTTATGTGAATTGAAATAAATTCAAATGATTTCATCCTCAAATAAAAATTGATTCTCTCGTTAATTATCAAATTAATAATATAGATTTTCTATCTGTTATATCTCTGTGAGTGAATATTTTGATTTTCAATTATCAATTTATTACATCTATTTATTATTAATAGTATTTTACCGTTAATATTAATGTTTTAATCTAATTATTCATTAAGACGTGATCCAGCTAAGATCGGCACTCGTTTTATAATAAAATTCGGGGATAAGTTATTTAATAAAACTTATCTCATCAGCTGCCCTATAGGTAAATATAAATTGGTATAACACAATCATAGGTGAAGTTTTAGTATCTGCTAAGTATACTATTTGGCTATTGTTTTGTAAAAAGTTAAATGAATTTTTTTAAAAAATAAAAGATACTTTCTTATACATGAAGAAATCAATTTTTTTAAAATTATTATAAATTATTATGTTTTTGACCAATAAAAGATTTGAAACATACTTAAAATATATATAAATTTACCCCATTTTTTTATATTTCAATAGTGCCGTACTTAGGCGGACCAAGTCTTAAATTAATTTGGTCACAATTACGAAAGATTAAATGCAGGATTGATCGAAACAATAAAAGATAAAAAATGTCATGTCAATTAAATCATAATTATGAAGTTTTTTTCTTTAAAAAAAAAATTGATTTCATTATTTCTTATTTCTTATTCCTTTGCCTATTTTTTATGTATTTTTCGAACATTTCTAAATATCTCCCACTCTCTATTAGTTTTCTCAAATTAATTAATTTTGTGATGATTTGTTTTTTAATGATGACTTATGATTTATTGCATTCGTACATTTAATAAATAATAAAATTGAATGAATTAAATGCACCATATGAACACGCGATTCATCATAAATAAAGTCCATTGTTCTTAACATATTTCTCCTTCTCTAGTTTCTTTCAAAATCGATCAACTTGTAATTTTTACATTTGATTTTATTAATAATATATTTTAATGATTCCGGATCATAATTAATGTTATCTTTATTATTTATTTTTACAACAAAATAATAATATTCTATTGTTGATGATCACATTCCAACATTATCACTATTAATACGTAATTAGAAAATGCCATTGCTATAGGAACCTTTTAAAGAAAAAAATAAAACAATAATGATTAAATGACATTACACAATATTTCAGCTTGCGCAATCAATAGTTAATAAAATTTCTGTAGTATAATATGATGAATAAAAAATTTCTCTATGATTGTTATTCATAGATTTTTAAGCGAAACCGAATTAGATTAATTTTTGATTCACATTACATTATGAATAACCATCTTATATTTATATTTACATTTATCTATTTATTTATTTAAATTTAAACATTGAAAAAAAATATAATCGACGTATATAAAATAATTAAAAATAAGAAACCACTTTAAAGTTTTTGCCTCTTTCCGGCATGATTGTCATTATTATCATCATCATCGTTATCTAATTAAAAAATGAATTAATATAATCGAAATTTTTTTAAAAAAATATAAATATATAAAGAAAATATGCTTACCTCGACCCCTCTTGTTATTATTACTATTATTAGTATTATTATCGATATTTTCATTAGTTTCGAAAGCAATATTATTGCTATTATTTATATCATTGTTATTATCGGTATTATTATTATTGTTATTATAAGTATTATTAGTATTATTAGTAATATTATAATTATTATTATCAGCATCATTATTATTATTATTATCATTACTATCATTATTATTGTTATTATTAAGGTTTGGGCGATGCTGTTGTAGTGATTGCTGCGGTTGTTGTTGTTGCGGTTGCTGATTAGATTGTTGCAACCTTATTTGACACATCCTTCTAATCCTTTCTTGATATTGTAATACCCCAACAGGGTTATGTTGTTGAATCTATAAAAGAATTGAAATAAGCGAAAAATTGAAAAAAAAGTAAAATATTTAAATTGCGAAAGTGAACTTTTTATACCTTCTGTTGCCTATTTTCGTTTTTAAATTGATGGAATTGTTTTGGCAACTTAAGTTGTTCCCTCACTAATGGAGGTTGGAAGTATTCTTGAATACCGAATTGCTCTTGCTGTTGAAGTTGTTGTTGCTGTTGTTGTTGTTGCTGTTGTTGTGGTTGCTGTTGTTGTGGTTGCTGTTGTTGTGGTTGCTGATTTAATTGCTGCAACCTTCTTTGACACATTCTCATAATTCCTTGATGATATTGTAATACCCCAATCGGATTATATTGTTGTGCTTGCTGCTGTTGTTGCAGCTATAAAAAAAAGAATTGGAATAAGTGAAAAAATGAAAAAAATGAAAATATTTAAATTCCGAAAATGAACTTTTATTTTATACCTTTTGTTTCCTATTTTCGATTTTAAATTGATGGTAATTTTTTGGGAACTTAAGTTGTTCTCTTACTAATGGTTGTGGCTGTTGTTGCTGTGGTGATTGTTGTTGCTGTTGTTGTGTCGGTTGCTGTTGCTGTTGTTGTTGGGATTGTTGTTGTTGGGTTTGTTGTTGTTGGGATTGTTGTTGTTGACTTGATGAATCCATTTTTAAAATTCGTTTGGTAAAAAAATTTTGTCTTAATATGATAATTAATTGAATTTTCTTTTAAAATTTGTTCCAATATAACAAGAATTGAATTTTTTGGAAAATTTTAGAAATTTGTGAATTTTTTAGATTGAAATCTCACGAATCTCTTCTATTACTCCTTTTTTATACTTTTTTTTTGTTTCCAATCAATAAACATATGCTCAATATTTCTTATGTCGGTTGAAAAAAATTCATTAGCCAATCATTCTTATTTAGCAGTTTTGCAGCTTGAATATATCAGACTAATTATTAATGATAACTACCGATTACATCAGACTAATAATCAATAACTATTAATAAATTTTTTTTTTGCAAAACCCATGTTCAAAATCCATTTTTGGCCAGTAGACCAAAGGTTGCATATCCCCTTGTAAAAAATTAATATTAAATGAATCGGTTATTTTTTCAGCTCAGCCCAACATCTAATTTAGTAATTATATTATTGTTCTTTTTCGTTTCTCATTTAACCGATCAATTATTAATTAAAACTAACGATTACGTCAGACTAATAATTAATAATTATTAGCAAAAATTTTTTTTTTTGCGAAATCATGTTCAAAATCCATTTTTGGCTAGCAGAATAAAGGTCCTTGTAAAAAATAATATTAAATGAATTAGTTATTTTTCGGCTCAGCCCAACGTCTAATTTAGTAATTATGGTTTATTATTTAATTTTTTTTTTTTGTTTCTCATCAATAAATATTTTATTACTTTATTATAAAAATAAAATAGTTGCATATTCTTTATATTTCTCTATACTTTATTTCGGTTGAAAAAAAAAATCATTAGCCAATCTATATCTAATTTAGTAATTTAGCAGCATGAGCACATCAGATTAATTATTAATAATAACTGATATTACATCTGACCAATAATTAATAATTATTAGAAAATTTTTTTTTTCGATTCCCATGTTGAGGTTGGATGATGTTAAAATATGGGTACAATATCATATGTTATTATATTATTACATTATATCAAAGTTTTTCTATAATATTCTCATTAAGAATCTTAATTTTAAGGCTTCGCAATAGATTTGTTGATATAATATGGAAATCCTTTATTATTTTGGATCACAAGATAATTATGTGAGAAATAATTTTTTTATTATTCTAATCAATATAAATTACATTAGATCGGTGAAAGTATTATTATAGTTTCATGATGGATTGACGTGCAGGAAAATTTGACTGCTAAACGGTAGCATGTGAAAACTGACAATCCTTCGGATAGTTAACTCGGGTATTTTTATTATTAATTTATTAATAAATTGTGTATACTGAATTGTATTTGATTATTTAAATAAATTAATGTATATAAAATTGTTTTTTTAAGTTTAAATACTTATTGATTTTGTGGTTTCATTAAATTATTGCGGATCATAGAAATAGAAGAGCTTTGGTTTACTAATTTTGATGAATCAATATATTACAATTCAATAATATTAATTTTTATTAATTTATATGAAAAACGACACAGATCAGGTGGAAAAATATTTTTATTCATGCATAATTAAAATGTTCATGTGAAATAATTTAGATTAATTTTACAAACTTTATTTAAATCAACTATTACATAATTGCAACCATTTTAAATTAAAAGAATATTTTTATTATATTTAATTTATAAATTATCCGAAAAGAATTTTCACTTCACCATTATTGTAACAATAAAAGTTAGACTAGCAAACATTAGTGTAATGGAAATAATTCTGTTAGGAAAGTATCAAAAATCAATATTAAAAAAATAATAAAGAATAATTTGCGAATTGGGCAAAAAATATGATTACCGATAACTAAAATTAAATTGTGGCTTATCTATTTCATAGAAAATAATGCATTGCATTATTTTTTTTTTTTCAAAAATATTCATAAGTTTCTTGAGATAATTGTTTTAAGTCAAGTGATATTCGGATTAAAATTTTCTGATTATCTTTTATAATTCTTTCATTTAGTCAATAGATGAATGCACAATCATTTCCATTTTAAGAATAAACAATTATCTCAAGAAACTGACAATTATTTATGTATTTCTATGTCTATAATGCGTGGTTCTGCCATATTTGATATTACCGGTCTTAAAAATATTTTTTTGAGGGTTTTTTTTTCAAATAATAAGAATAATGTGTTATTTTACCATATTTGATATACCGATCTAAAAAATCTTGTTGATGATATTTTTTAATAATAAGAATAATATATTTGATATATTACCAGTCTAAAAAAATATTTTTTGTTGGTTTTTTTTTTTTTTTTGATAATAAGAATAATGAACGTGACTTTAACATATTTGATATTACCGATCTTAAAAATATTCTTTGGCGTTTTTTTTTTAACAATAAGAATATGAGTATAAATGATGTAAAATGTTAATAATAATCTTAATAACTAATCAATAACAGTGACTAATAATAAATAATAATAAAATATTCTATTGATTTTTATTTGAATAATGATATAATTTCGATCATTGGCTGAGTACACAAATATAATAAAATATACTATTATTTTAATATTTGATAGTTAAATATGAATCATTAACAATCTTATTAAAAAAAAATTTTTTTTATAATCACATTAATAAATAATATGATACTTATTGCAGAAAATAAAAATGGAAAATATTAATGTGAAATAATAAAAAATTATCAGATGCCAAGTAAATAATAGGGGGCATCAAATGTTTATAAAAAGGGTTCGATTTATATTTTTCCGTTTTTTTTTTCTCACCATTAATTTTTCACATTATTATACCTTTCTCTAATAATTTTAAAAATTCATCTATAAAATAAATACTTTATTAAAACTTTTAATCGAAATGAAAAGAGATAGACCTTTATCACCTTCCGATTTGATAACACTTCCAAACAAAAAAAGGAAAGTTGAGAAAGCTCCTATCTTGAATCAAAATAAAAGTATATTTGGATCAGGAACAAAATATGCTGGGAATTCGTTTGCCAATATAAGCTCACGAAGACAAAATATTTTTGACGAGCAACCTTCGAAACAGAAAGATGATAAAGGAGAGAGTGATAAGGAAACACAAAATTCAGTAAAAGAGCAAGAAGGTAGAATCACTGATAACAATTATAACAATAATATAATGGTAAATAATAATAATAACGAAAATAGTTTTTCATATAAATTTTTTTATTTAGTATTAACGGGAGAAGAGGATGAAGTTACACGACATATAGTGCGAGCGAAATTATATTGCTTGGAAGGGCAATGGAAAGAAAGAGGAGTTGGTTTTTTAAAACTTAATTATCCAAAAAACAACAAAAAATCACCACGTTTAGGTAAACTTTAAATATAAATTTGTGATTATTACCAACATTATTATATTATTAATTGAATATTTAATAAATTTATAGTGATGCGTAATGACAACATATTTAGAGTAATTTTAAACATAACATTATTTCACAAAATGCATATTGAAAGACAGGAAAAATTTGTTAGGTTGTTCGCATATGAGGGGGATATACTCGTTCATCTTGCAATTAAGGTTTGCAATTTGTAATCATTAATTCTATTTTTATTATATTTCATTATATTTTTATTATATTTCTATTAAATTCATTATATTTTATTGTATCGTTATTTTCTTTAGCTATCTAATTCAAAAGCAGCTGACGAGTTATATAATGCAATAATGGATGCAATTCCTCCGGCCCGAAATTAATCTCATCCTGATTGTTTTTTTATATATTCCTTGACCTTGACGAATGGTAGAAATGCGTGAAATTTTTCTTGATTAAGGATTTTGTTTTATAATTCTATTTTCTTTTATTATAATTTTTTTTATTATTACATATATTATTTTACTATTTTTTTTTACCTATTTTTGTATCTTAATATTATACTATTATATCTGCTTTTTTTTTGAAAATAAATAATGGAATTGAATACAAAAACCAGAAAGTTTCCATGATTTATAACTGCGAAATAATATTTATAATGATGATGTTGACAAATTTTTTAAATTTGTCTTTGGTAATAATGGTGGTGGTAACAATGATAATGATTTTAAATATAACTAAATTAATATTTCAATATTTCCCGTTAGTCTTTTCGCGACCGCAGAATCTACTATAATATATGAAAAACTAAATAAAAGAATAAATTTTTTTATGTGCTAAAGTGAGGAGTTTCTCGTAGTTTAAATATGATACAACAAATAAAAAAATACATAATAATGATAAAACAAATAAAAATAAAATACATAATATGATTTTATAATGTAATAATTGTGTAAGTGAATTCAATTTGACTCTCGAACCTAAAAGTCAAATATATTATTATATATTAAAGGAAAAAATATTGATAAACTTTAATTTTAATTCACCAGCTTTAAGAGGTTTAATTTCATAAATATTTTGATCAAATAAATATTCATTAGAGAATTCGGAATTATTTATTGATTCTTCATCTTTATCTACATTATCTGTTTCTTTTAATAATAATAAAAAATAATAGTGAATTATTAGATATCAAGGATATTATATTAAATATTAAATAAGTTTAAATATAATAATAAAATTTATATGTATTAAATATTCCCGCTTCTACTTTATGATCATCAATTATTTTTTGATAAAATTAACTTAAAAAAAAACTAACAAAATATAAAATAAAATATAAATGACTTATAAAAATTGTATTTAAAGTTTTCATATTTATCACAGTTAAATTATATATATATTAAAAAAAATAATAAGAATAAATTTATTTTTTAGTCCAGATTTCACGAAGAATATTCTTTTAATTATAATAATTAATAAAATTATATAGTTAATTTTTACAAAAATAATTCTAAAATCTTCTGATCTTATTAATGATCGAATATAGTCATAAAATGACAAAGAAGATTAATATGCGAATCAATATTTATTTATGTAAAAAAATCGACAATATGGCAATATTAGCTCATTCTTAATTCATAAATTTGAAGAAAAAAAATATATATAAATATATAAAGTTTAAGAATTATTACTAACGACATTGGCTATGGACTATCATCCTATAATTAGAACAAGTTATCTTTCTACCTTCAATTTCATCATCTTATAAAAATTTGGATATTACTAAAGCTCACAGGTAGTGATTATCTCCACCAGGCGTAATTACATAATTCCCTGATCAACCACCTCTAATTTTGCTCAGTGACAACAATCACCACAGGAGAGCTTTAAATAAAAATTAAATAAAAATTAATGTAATAGAAATTAATTTTAAAAATATCTTAATTAATAAAAAATGTTGGGATAACAAAATAATTGAGCCGCGAAACGATTCAAAAGCCGAAATCAATGGATTTAGAGAACAAATTTTTACGCAATATTAATTATATTTTTATACAATGTGAAAAAAATTACTTGTCATAAAGATTGCATTAGCGGGTCATCCGTTTTCAATTCCTTGATTAGTCTTTTAAGTTTAGGTGCTTTATCCCTATTAACTGGTTTCTTTGCTTTCCTTTAATTACTTCTAACATCTAACGGCTGAAAGATAACCGGATTCTAAATCAATCATGGATTTTTGGAAATTATCAAATGCTAAACCACTCTTTTCTATTCTCTAGGTATATTGGTATATAATACGTGCAGCTACATAAATAAAAAAATTAATGATGCATAAAGAATAATAAAAAAAAAAAATAAACTATAAACAACAAATAATAACTAAATAATAATGAATTATTAAATAATCAAATAATGTATACCAACTCTAAATTCTTTACGAGAAATACAACAAAGGTATGATATCAGATCCAACCTTCTAAACTCTAATTTAAAATTAAATCATAAAGGTTAGTAGAATGCAAAATATAAATGTTAATGACGATATTACACAATATTATATTAAAAATAAAAATTTCCTCGTAAATGATCTTACGATGATATTATTGGGTTACTAGTGTAAGCTCAACTTCTATATTTAATTAGGAATGAAAATATAATAAATTTATTAAATAAAATAAATAATAATAAAAAATAAAATAATAAATAAATTTAAAAAAAATAAATTTAAAATAATAAATAGCAAAAATAAAAAAAAATAAATGAATAAATAATACTAAATATACTGTAAATAGAAACAAAATAAATAATAATAAAAATACTCACAAAAAGCTTTCTCCAGCTCGAATAAAATTCTCAGCTGCTTTCTAATATATACGTTGTTTAATTTTCAATTTACTTTAATTTAATTTTAATAAATTTATAATTTATAATATATAATTAAAATTTATAAATAAATCGACACCTAAACTTTTATCATTCGATATCTTAAGTGAATGAATCGGAATATATGACAATTTTATAATTTGATTTGTCATCAAAGGAATATTCGGAATTCTTTAATTTCTTAAATTCAGAAATTAATAATATAAATGTGCTAATATATTTATCAGGATATGGAGCAGAATTACTTTAAAAAATTCAGATTATATTATATAATCTTTGAAATTTAATCTTTGATAAATAAAATATAATTATTATATATTTAAAATGAGATGAGTATCTTCCATTAATGTTAATATACTTTTGTTCTTGAAGTTTGAATTTCAATTTTTGAATGTTCCATCTAAATTACGATGGTTCTATTTATCATTATTTATATTATTTGAAATCTTCTGGAATCAATCGAACATTTTTGTTCTAAATGAGCATTACAGTTCGATTATTATGAAATGTCATATTAAATATTTGGTTTTCTTCAATATTATTTCATATTAATATTTCTGGTCAAATGAAATTCTTTAATAATTAAGCATTTTCTATTACATGGAATATATTAATTCTTGAAAAAAAAAGAAAGATATATATATTTAAAAGTAAAACATGTAAAATAAGTCTAAAATAGTAAAATGTAATGATAAAAGAAAAAATATTGAAATAAAAAAAAAATCCTTAACAAATATTCTCTATTTTAAAAACCACCGTAAAAAATAAAGTTATCGAATGTTATCAAATAATACCAAATTACTATATAAAAAGTATTACTTCAAAAAGACATCTCGGAGGTTACTTTAGGATAGGATTCAGCTGGTGGAATTGCATCTTTTATAGCTTCATATAAATTATCAGCTGCCTTGGAATTGGACAACTAAAGAAAATACAATAAACCAAAAAATTATAATTAAATACAATTATAATAAAAAATTTAATAAATTAAATTATCACAAATTACAAACCTTAATAGCTAGTTGAACAAGCAAATCACCCTCGAAGGCAAATAACCTTAAAAATTTCTCCTGTGATCTTTCAACATACATTCCTTGAAATAGTGCAACATTTAAGATCACTTTTAATACATTGTCAGTACGCATGACTATAAAATTTTAATTCAAATATCGTGTTAATAATATAATAATGTTTGGTAAAAGTAATCATAATAAATTTATACAGAAAGTTTACCTAAGCGATGGGATTGTTCATAATTTCTTGAACAATTAAGTTTCAATGTTCCAACTCCTCTTTCTCTCCATGTCTGCCCATCCATAAAGAATAACTTTGCCCTAACCGAGTGTTGAGTAATCTCATTCTCTTCCCCAGTTGAAACTAAATAAAATTAATATAAAAAAATATGACTGCTATTATTATTATTATTATTATTATTTATATTGTTTTTATCATGTTTCTACCTTCTTGTTCCCGGAAAAAAGTTTGTGTTCCTGTTTCAAAAGTGACTTCTTCTTTCACATCACTTTTCTTATCTTCTTTATCTTTATCATCATTTCGGGAAGGTTGTTCATCAAAAATTGATTTTTGTGGGTTAACAACACTTCCTGAAAAAGCATTTCCAGAATATTTGGTCGCTGCTCCAAATATACCGCTACCAAATATTCTTAATTGTGGTTGCGGCTGTGATTGTGGTTCCGGCTGTGGTTGGGATTCCGGCTGTGGTTGTGGTTGGGGTTGTAGTTTGGGTTGTGGTTCGGGTTCTAATTGGGGTTGTGATAGTGTTTGAGGTTGTTGTGGTTGTGTTGGAGATTTTGTTTGGGGTTGTGTCTTTCGTGGCCTACCACGGCCACGTTTTTTCGTTGGCTGTTGCGATTCATTTTCGTCTGCCTTTCTTTTTCTTAAAGTTGATGAACTTTCAGCCATTGTTACATCAATCATTCCTTTGCTCCTGCCCCTTCGAAGAGTTATAGTAGGTTGAGTATTCGTAGCATTTACATTTGTTTCATTAGAGGTACCAGCATTAATGGTTTCAGAATTGATGTTGGTAGGTGTTGCGCTTGTTAAATTAATCTTTCCTTTGCTCCTACCTCTTCGAAGGGTTACAATAGGTTGAGTATTTGGAGTATTTATATTTGTTTCATTCGAGGTACCAGCATTAATGGTTTCAGAATTGATGTTGCTAGGTGTTGCGCTTGTTACATTAAGATTTCCTTTGCTCCGACCTCTTCGAAGGGTTATAGTTTGTTGAGTATTTAGAGCATTTATATCTGTTCTATTATAGGTACTGGCATTATTGGTTTGAGATTTGATGTTGGTAGGGACTGCGCTTGTTAAATTATTCGTTCCTTTGCTCCTTCCCCTTCGAAGGGTTGTTTTAGGTTGAGTATTTATAGTATTTAGATTTGTTCTATCAGAGGTACCAGAATTATTGGTTTCAGAGTTAGTGTTGGTAGGTGTTGCACTAATCTTTCCTTTGCTCCTGCCCCTTCGAAGGGTTATAGCAGGTTGAGTATTTACAGTATTTAGATTTGTTCCATTAGAGGTACCAGATTTATTGGTTTCAGAGTTGATGTTAGTAGATGTTGCACTTGTTACATTAATCTTTCCTTTGCTTCTTCCCCTTCGAAGGGTTATAGCAGGTTGAGTATTTGTAGTATTTACATTAGAGGTATTGGCAATATTGGTTTCAGAAATGATGTGGTTAGGTGCTTCGCTTGCTACATTAAACTTTACTTTACTCCTGCCCCTTCGAAGTGTTTTAGTGGGTTGGTTATTAATTTCATTAGGTTTATTCATGGTAATTATTATTGGTGAATAAATTTGTAAAAAATTATGAAGTTGTTATCAGAAGAAAATTTAAAGCAGTTTTTGAAAAAAAAAATTTAAGTGAATCTGGGGGGATGGATCTTTAAATATTTATTTTACTGTTTTGTAAATCAAAATAAATAAATAAGAAATGTTATTTTTGTTTACATGAAATAAACATCCGCCGATCAAAATAAAAAAAAAGTTTCTGTTTCTATTTATATTTTAAACCAAATTGTGATCCGTGTAACAATTGTAAATCCAAAGGATGAGTTAATATTTAAATGATCGACATACATAACTATTAATTGATTCATATAGAATATTTAATTTAAAAGCTAATTAATAAAAATCTGTTAATCTTTTTATTTGACATCATTATTACTATTATTTTCATTAATTCCTATCTTGTATATTTCGACATACATGCGGAGGACAAATTATTCAATAAATTATATTTATAATCGTACCTACACTAATGAATTAAATAAATTTATGATTGAAACTATTTACAAAATATTAAATTTTAATCTTATTTATTATTTTTAAATTTTTCATATCAAAGTTAATTATTAATTGTAGAATTGTGTAGTTTTTATAATTAATTGTGACTATATTTATTATCAAATTCATTAATAAAATCATAAGAATTAGGAGAATTATGTTTGTAAGAAAATTTACTATATAATTTTATTAATTATTATAATTAAAAGAAATATCCTTCGTTAAACATGGGGCAAAAAATAAATTAATTCTTATTAAATTGATTTTTTAATATATACACTATTTCGAATGTATATGCATAATTTGACTACGTATTTTCATAAACAAATCATATCAAATGAAAAATTTTTCGAACAAATTTATAATCAGTTAAGTAGAAAGTTGAATACAATATAGGTTTAGAATCTTTTCTATTTCGTTTCTTTCATTTATTTTTCAATTTTAATTTGTATTTAATACAAATATGAATTGTTTATAAATTATTTCTTATTTCTATTTCGTCAATTTAAAATTCCAATGTAAAATTCCTATCTTCTCAACTTTTTATCCTATAACGATCTGTAAATTTGTAAAAACAAACTTTATTATAAAAAATACAAAAATAACCAGTATATATAAGGGAATAATGAAGCAACGGAATTTATTCCCCTCTTATTTCATCTTTCCATGCCAAGTTTCTACAGATATCTAAGTTCTCTGAAATATCTAAAATCCGATTCTCTATAAGATCTTTAGCGCTAACACATAATTGTAATGCAATCTTTTTGTCTTCATTTAAATGTAGTCCACGATACTTATCATATCTGCTTTCACATCTAATATTACTAATCGATTTAATAAAATAAGTTAAGATAATTGTGTTGTTGTGTGCTGCAGGAGGATAAAAGTTTTATTTTTCATTTCATTTTTTTATAATGATGATAACTTTCGATGATTTGATGATTTATGTGCTTACTAAAAATAATAAAAAAAATATTAAAAAATATATTCTATTCATATGTTTCTTGTTATTTTATATTATATTTTTATTATATCTAATATATACATTATCAAATAAAGTTTTGTTCTTTTTACATGAAAAAAATAGGAAGTTATTATATTAATGATAATATTTGATGTAATTATTCATTTGTTAACTAAAAAAATAATAAAAAATATAAAATATAAACAAATATTTTATTTAGACTCGTCGTAATAAGCTCAAATGTACTGTTTAATTGTTTAATTTATGAATAACTTTGTATTCCAAAAGATGTCCAAATATTTATTGTTAATATTTTCTTGATAGAATTTTATTTTATTTTACATAATAATTACGCCTGAATTTTCATAATCATTAGATCTTGAGATTAAATTAAAAAAAAATAATTGAATAAATCAATTTGCTCCTAATAAGATGGTGATAATTGTCGAACTTTTGAATATTGCTTACAATATATTCCTAATAATGGTCTTTCATATATTTCTTAAATTTTCATTCACATGTTTCAGCCATTTTATATATTTGAAACTGATAGAAATTAAGATATTATTCTCAATGAGTTTGGTAATCAGTTGATTATTTTTAATTTTAATTGCTGTTCATGGGATATGTACATCTTACCATGGGTATTAATTGGGTTGGGTACGAGATGCAGATTATTTAGATTATTCGGTATTAATGTCATCATTCAATCATCATCAGATTATCAAGTGATGATAAAATAATAATTATCAAAAGGCTAGAACATTCTAATAAATTAAAAATATCAATTTTCTTTCTTTTTCCCACATACCAACCGAATAATTTTTTCAGGTTTAATAAGTTTTATAAATTTTTATCTAATAAGTGTTTTAATTCTTTCTACAAAACAATCAATATCTAAATATTAATTTTGAATATTCTATATTTATAAGTCAAATCTATAAATTTTTAAGAAAATATAATATACAAAAAAAAAAATGAAAAGGCAAATATCAGAAGGATGTGAAGTTCCTCGAAAGAGAATTTTTATTAAGAGATCCAAGGAAGTCCAAGAAAGAATCAACGAGGAGAGAAGAATGGCAGTGATTAAGGCTAATGAAATTCTTCAGGTAAATATTTATTCAATATAATTATTGTAATTTTATATTAAATAAAAGATAAGAAATTTATAATATACCTTATTTCAAAGCCTTTGTTTAAGGTAATAAAAAATAAGGTGCCCTTTTCCACGCCACCTCCAATTTCAAAAGTTCTCCTTAAGAAAAGGAAACCGGAAGAATCCGAAGTTCCACAGAAGAGTATTACCACTAAAAGGTCGAAGTATGCACACGAAAGAATAGATGATGAGAGAAGAAGGGTATTAGATAAGGCTAATAAAATTCTTCGGGTAAATATTTATACAATATAATTATAATGTTTTATTGTTATTTATATTAAAAGATAAGAAATTTATAATTTACTTTATTTTGAAGCCTTTGTTTAATGCAACAAAAAATAAGGTGAAATTTGATATGCCGCCTCCAATTTCAAAAGTTCTCATTAAGAAAAGGGAAGGGGGGAAAGGCAAAGGTGTAGAGTATAATGAGAAGAAAAAGGTTTTGGAGGAAGTAAATGAAATACTTCGAGTAAGTATATATAATTTATTTAATCGTTATTATATTTAAATAAAAATGTAGTAATTTATATTTATTTATTTTTTAAGCCTCTGATGGAAGTAAAAAATGCGATAGATTCGATGGAAGTGGAGGAACTTAGAATCCCACGAATCTCATCGATCCCAATTAAGAAGCGAAACTAAAGAGTCATTTTTTATTTTATTTTTAAATCTACACCTAATTTTCGTTTAAATTTTTTTTGATTTTATGATTTAATTTGTTTCTATTTATATGTTCTTAAATATTTCTTATTTTAATAAATATTCTATAAAATGTAATTGTCATGACATCATGGATCTTGATCCTTTGATAGAAACTCTAAAAATAATTATAATACTTGCATAATTCGTTCAATTTTTATGAATTCTTATGTCAACGTTGAGAAACTTAATTGGTTAGTTTTTGGTTATTTTACTTTTGGTTGAGAATTAACTTATGACAGTCAAAATAATCAGAGATTTAAAAATTTATATGTGACAATTTTGAAGTCTCATAAGAGAGTTGATTTTTTTCTAATGCAATATTCGATATGCCATGTACTAATTTCGTTCGGCAGTATTTAAGATTCGGCTAGCTGTATATATAAATCTAGCATCCTGGAGGCAATCTAATTATAATGAAAATAAAAAAGAAATCACAAAAATCTATCTTTCTATGTGAAAGGCATTTTAATAAAAAACAATATTTTATTGAAAATATGAACAGGACAACATGGACAATTGAACAGCACAACAGCAAAATATGAATCTAAAAAAAAAATAACAATCCACCAAAAAACAAAAATATGTAAGAAAAATCTGCACATCTGTTTTTCTTTTCTTTTTTTTAAAAATTATACATTTATTATGTATGAATATGAATTACTCGATCATAAATTTACAAAATTAAAAATCATGATTCTAATAGAGATCCCATATGATTTTCAGACTAATGACTAATAAACGCAATAAACCTTAAAGTAATAAATATGATTTTAAAATATTTTTCCAAAACTAATAGTTTCAATTCGAGCTATAAAAACCGATAGAATGTAAATTAGAATAGGTAATTCAATTTAATAGTAGTTAATTAACTTAGAAGATAAATTGATGAGTATAAAGCCGAGTTTAAATAATAAAAAATAAAATAAGAATAATTACATTATTCTCCTAAAGCACAAAGCTTTAAATAGTTTCTTAACACTCTTAAATACTTCATAATTGATGGTTGAAAATCCACTTGATGAGTATACTAATAGATGCTCCAGAAACAACCAGCATCTAAAGTGAAATTAGGTTGCGACTATACATAACAAAATAACCGAAACAAGGACCTTGATCCTTTTTTGAAACATTAAAAAATGCATTCTTGTTTTTTTTTAATTATCCTTGTTTCCTACCTTTATCAAAATTACTTTATCCCATGCCAATGGATTGTAATTCTATAGCCAAACTGATCTTGGTGGCAAAATAGTTGATTTTACTGGGCGACCAGGTGCTATTATACTAATTAAAATCTCCCAAAGTTGTTATTCATATTTTATTGTTAGGTTTAATTTTATATTTATCTCTAAAATCATCAAAATAAATCATCCTATGTAAATAATGGCATGTAGTAATCCACACTCATTTGACACAACGCCTATTTTGCACTTACAAAATTAAAAAAAATTTAACCTTATAACATATTAAATGACTCATATTCCTAACCGCAGAAAGTTGGAACACAATCACTTGCGTTGGAAATACCACTCAAAGAAACTATGCCCGAATCAATTATACCTGAAGTAATCAATCTATCACAATCTTAGGTATTTCTTTCTCATTTCACTGTCTTCATTTTTTGATGTCACGTAATAAGAAGATTATGAGGTAATATGAATCATTCAAAACTATTGGAACATTAATTAATGATGATTAATGATTAATAATAGTGATTATATTTTACAGTTAAGTAGATGGTATCTTATAAAATAAATCTTTTCTTATCTTACAAACAACAAATAAATATAATAAAAGTTTTATCTACCTTTTTCATTGAAAGAAGTGTTTTCAAATAATCAATTATCTACTTAATCTTGCGACAATTAATTATATAATTCTAATTTTTATTCTAAATTTATTTATTTATAAAAGTTTTTCTTTCGATTATTGAATTATATACATATATAAATATTTGATATTGTAATTTATTTATGTAATAATAAATTAAATGTTTGACATTATAAGGTTATGAAATGCTTTGTTGTATAAAGAAAACATTTAGTTTTTAATTTTTTTTCCTTTTGAAATTTTGAAATCGTGTAAAATACTAAAATACTTGCGAATTGATCAAAAATAATTCCGTGACGTGTTGTTTTTACGGTGTGATAAATGTTGGGTGACGAATATCTAAGTCCCTTAATAAGAATTGATATTTGAATGGGAGTGACACCAGGTGATAAATACATAACCCTATGCGATATCTGATCATGTGTCATCTGATGAACCAATCAATAACTAAGTACGTTACTTTATGGGTCATAACCCAGTCGTTATTGGATCATCAGGAATCACATGAACTAAATTTGACTATGTTGCTTATTTGCTTTTGATTTCCTCTTCACTTTATTTTTGCTATCTCTAACCACGCGAAGAAATATCCAATGCTTTAACAACTAAGTCCAAACCACCTTTGAAACCTCCAAAACAGCTAAAAGACTTTATCAAGATGGCAAAAACTAACGAAAATCATCCCAAGAATGGTATTGGATTGACTTAATGACCAAACTTGAGAAGTAAGTATTATGAATGGCGAAAGATTCGTGTGGAAATAAAATATTTTCTTTTAAAAAAAGAAGTATATAAAAATAAAATTTCGTCTTAGGAGATTAAAAATTTGTACAAAAAAATCATAGAATTTTAGTAAAACTCATGAAAAAATTAGAAAACCGAAATATTTCAGCAAAGGATTTTACAAACAAACGTTTTCTTTGTGAAAACTATGTTGTTTTTATTAAATAGAAGTTTCTTTACATTATTTTTTATCTAAAATGAAACATATTTTAATTGGTTAAATTTTTATTTTACTTTAATATCAATAAATTCCCTCTCAAAATTAATTTTGATCCACCTGCACCCATGGACGAAAAACAAAAGGTATTCACTAAAGTCAAAGCAGCTGAATACACCAATAAATACCGTCAAGACATTTATGGAATTGTGGAATATGTCCAACAAAAAAAAGAAGATTTAGTAAGGCAGATGTGGTAGTCATTACAACAGGTAAATCTTTATAAATAGCGCAATCTATACTATCTATAGAATTATAAACTAATTATTTTTATTACAGGAAGAAGATTAGATAAAAGATATTCATCTTATATTTCTTCCCCTTTAAATGATGGGTAAAGTTATTCAATCTTAATTATATAGATTTAATTTTCTTATTATTATTAGTAATCAATCAATATTTTATTTTTCATTTTCATTTATAATTGCTTTTTAATTTGCTAATTCTATTAATGAAAAGAAAGTCCGATAGGTAGCAGGAATGTTCAGTAAGGCTTACGGAAGTATAGGACAGTGATCTCCTAAAGCCAATACTAGCGTAAGTTTCATTTTTATAAATTTATTGTTTTTTTAAAAAAGATTATTTAATAAATTAATCTAATAAATTATTTAATTAAAGGTTAAGTTTAGATTAAGAATTGCGCTTTTCAATACAGGCATAAAAACTAAGCCTTACGATAATAATGAGTATGAAAAGCATGCTTCGGATCAAAAGGAGGAGATGGTGTAATGTAAGATTAGCGATGATGATTAACGCAATAATTAAATAATTAAATAATTCTCATAATTATTTGGTAAGATTCATGCTCTGGAAGATGACAACAATATTGATATTGTCAATGTTGATTGGGAACTTGACTCCGACTATACAGAAGCGAGGAAGATGGAACTTGACAGATGGGATTTTTATTTGAGAAGAAAATACCAAATTAGAGTATACCTTTTTTTTACGATTTTTTTTCTGGTTATTGCAATCAAATTTTCCTTGCTAATTTTTTTTCAGTAGAATATCGTCCACCTGTTGATCAAGACTAACAGACTCGGTTGACATTTTTATTTTATTTCTTATTTTTCTTAATCGTTATTGTTTTTTTTTTTTTATTTTCTTATTCTTCTTATTGTTATTGTTTTTTTTGTCTCGAAAATTTACTAAATTATTTTTATTTTTATTCTATTTTATTTTATTTTATTATTTTATTGATTTTGTTGTTGTTGTTCTGATGACCCGCACAGAAGTAAGCGAGGGTGGGAGCGTCTTCCTTAGAGGGTGTCCCAAGACAACTATTTGATTAAATACATTTATATAAAAATTTAAAAATTTATAAATTATTTTCGAAGATTAAGAATAATTTTTTATTATTGAATATAAATGATCGAACTACATTTGCCAAATTATTTTTTATTTTTTTATAATTTCTAAATTCGAACGTCCTTTTTTTTTGTCAATAGATTGTATATCTTTGTTTTTTATTTATAATGAGTCGAATGTTGTACAAGGTTAGTTATCATTTTTCTTATTCATTTCATTTACAAAGTCCCTTACGAATTTGTTTTTATTTTATTCCGTAGATGTTCACCAATAAATTTATTCCCAAGACCAAGCGTGTCGTGTTTCGAGAACTGTTTCACAACATGAAAATCTAATTGTTCAAAACGAATTCTATTAACTTTAGCGAAAAGGATATTATATGCGAGATTCTGAAAGGATTGATCACATTGTTAAAGGTGAGACTTATTTGAAAATAAAAAAGCATATATATTTGAAATTATCATTTTTTAGCAAAATTATCAGAATTATTAAGTTTTTTTTGTCAAAAAATTTTTTGAAATATCTTGAAAAGATCAAGTTGCTATGCAAGATAGAGAAAATGACAATTCTTTAATTTATGCTTTCATTTTACCACTGCACTGTTCCAATTTCAATTAATTGTGATCATTTAATAGAAGAATTTAAAGGTTCTGATAAAGATATCGACGTAAGTGTTTATTATTATTTTGCTCGATCGATGTTGACACTTTTTGTATTTTTTTTGAAAACGAAATATAGACAGCATAAAATAACAAATAAAGAATTTTTGGTTTGTACAACGCGAATAGATGTGGAATAGAATTTTGAGGCTTGGTAGGGTATTATTCATTAGGTTATTTTAGAGAATTGAGACACACCTGGAGAACTCATGCTTTTAATCGGTAAATAAAAGATTAATTCTACATCTAAGGTAATAATTGTGTTTAGTGTATTTAAAGAATTATAATATTTTATATTTATATTAACATAATCCTCTGATTAAAAAATAATAATAATAATAAATGAAAAATAAAAATAAATGGTTAGCCACAATATTAAGAATTAGTGTCGGATGATGATGTTATGATTCAATGGGAACTTAATTGGGGAACTAAATGAATGGACTAGACTAGTCCTAAAGATGTTCTTGTTTGCCACGAAGGATATTATTTCCGTTGTCACTACAGTTATTCTGGAGACATTAAATATTATTTCATTTATTGTAATATGCAATAAATAGGGAGGAACGGATCATATGGTTGAATATTTTGGACCCGGATCGAGAAATTATCTTATACAGTGATGTATTATGGAAACAGAGGTTAGTGATAACGATAACGTATAGTATTCATTCATAATGTTGCTTTTATCCTATATAACCTAGAATGTATTAATACTTATTAAAAAGTGGTCTTGGTATTGGCGTTTCGAAATTACAAATCAGATGCAGAAAGATTTATTTTGCTAGATATAATTTTTGTAAGAGAATTCATTCTTTTATTTTATTTTATTTTTAATTTTTTTTTGGGGGGGAATAACTTAACTTTTAATTAATAACATTCATTTTCGGCAAACCATGAATGTTGAATGTTGGTAGGCCCGTCAAAAGCAATTGCTTCATTACAGTATTTACATGACTGCACGCAGAATCGGAAAATTTGATGGACCCTAAATTAATAGGTGTCAATCTGCGTGGACAAAACAAACAGGATATATCCTAGAAAATCATGCGAACGTGGTGAATTTGCAGTGGTGGTAGGTTAGGGTTTTGTCTCTTCTTCAGTGCCATGTTTCAGGGATGCTTTTGCTCCTGCTTCAGTGATTTTTGGTTTAGGATTTGCATCTGCTTCACTGTCATACGTGTAGTAGTAGTAACAGGGGTTAGGGTTTGCTTACGCCTCAGTTTCACGTTTTATGTATTGTATTTCCGCTTCAGAGATGAAGGCAATAATGAATAAGCACAAAAGATGACAAGTTTTGAATTATTATTTTTTTGCTTAATTCGATATATAATGAGGGATCAAAGCTGGGGTTATACATTTTCGACAGATTGCTAAAGCAAAATGGAAACTTGCGACCAGATGTTTTCAAGTTCACAAATATCTTATCGAAATTATTATCTCTGTTGCAAACTTCGAATTTGGTCTTTCCCAATCACAACCATGTAATACCACAGAGGCTAAAATGGAGATTTTAAATACGTAAGTTGCTTTTCTAAATTTTTTTATATATTTTTAAATTTGTAAATATTTAATAATAATAAATAAAATCCTTTTCTATTAAGGCAAAATGAAATTGAAACTGATCCTCCTTTTGTCACGACTGAAGTTAATGGTTTTATTAACGATCTGTTGGAATTTTTCAATGATACACGCACGCAAAAAAAATCCCGAACTGTTCACTTAATTATGATCAAAAAATATACTTCATGAAACCATCTCATTATTGATTTACTAGCTTAATAACTCTTACTGGTAATCAAATGGCTTTTAAATTCTTTTAATTTAGCGGTCAATGAAATAATTGATACCTCTTCTTCTGATTCTTCATCCTTAAGGAAACTATGCAGTATCGGCAAAGAAAATGGAATTATCTCTCTTGCAAATATGGTCCATGTGTGGGAAAGGATACAAAAAAAAAACTTTTCAGATTTTATCATTAGCTTGCCGATGAAGGGTCTCTCTTATAGCTCTGAATACTGTAGCCTAATAGGTTTTGGTGTTGAAAAAATGAATAAAAAACATTTAAATTTTATTTGAACTTCAGCAGAAAAAGAAATCTTGTGGCACAATTTAATGTTGGCAAGTGTTATAATGACGGAACAAGAATAACCAAAGATAAGTTCAAGGTTCTTAATGGTTTATAAAATCTGCTCTTGCTGAAAATATTGATTCAATGTGCAATGTTGAATATAGTTATGAAAAGGGTATGGTCGTAGATAAAGATAGAAAAGGAAGCATTAAATTGGTATCTGAAGGCAGCTGAAAAAGAATTCAATATATCACAATAAAAATTGTTACGGAATTAATATAGATCATATTGGGAAATATTATTAAGGTATATTTAGGAATTATATGTATCTATACCATAAAAAATCATTCGGAATATTTGTCCAATAAAAATAAAGGTAATTTTTGATTTAAGGAAAATAGCGTACCATAAGTGAAAGCAGTTGAGTGGTATAAAAAAGTTAAAAAAAATTTTCATACCTATAGCCAATACGGAATTAAAAAAAGATATTGTGAAAGCTATATACGGGTTTGAATAAAGTAAAGGAAAATGAGAACACAGATGCAAATGAATTATTAGAAGAAATGAACCATTAATAAGATATAACAGCTAAAGATTTTTTTGACTAAATATATTTTCGAATGCATTGAAATTTTTATGATTTTATTTGCAATCAATATTATCATAGTTTTGATTTTGTATTAAAAACCAATATTTACAGCCATTTAAAAAATAACATATTCCTAATGAGATAAAGATGAATCTAAATTCTTACTCGATATTGAAACACCTATTTAAATATTCACTCACCGTAACATTCACCATTAGAAAGAATTTCCCGAATCTTCTAAACCATCCTTAACATCATCAGGCAAATGATATTCAGGACCAACATTCCATATCTTGATTGCATCCATCCAAGAATATCATTATTCTACAGTTTTCCATTAAGAAATGGGAAAACAACCATTGTTATATTATCACATTCCATCCTATACCGCAATCTCCACCATCTATAGTTAAGCATGATTCATTAAATCTCCACAAGCACTTTGGATAAATAAGTCGTTGAAATATTTTTACGAATGAAGCTAGTTACTTGTTGAGATGAAAGGTAATCTCATATTCCTATATAATAAATAAATAAATAAATGCATCAATAAATTAATGAATAAGAAATAAAATATTAATTTATATTTAATAATCTTTTCATTTGTTTATTTTTTTTATTATAAATTATTAAAAATTTACCGTCACAAGCCAATACTAAGAATTCAGTTTTTTCATCGATCACTTCTTTTAGCATCTTAAATAAGTAATTATTCATTGCAATACAAAATTTGTCTTTTTCTATATCCTGAAGTACAATTAAAGAACTAACCTGTATATTTAAGATGTTTATAGATAAATATATTTATTAAAAAAAAATTAGATCTTCAATAATAAAACCACCATTTATAAATACCATAAATATTAACTACTGATATTTCGTTTTGACCGTTTCAGCAGGTTCGGACATTTCTATTACCTAATCTGAAATAAAATAAAAATTTAGATCTTTGATATATATTTCACAAAAACTATCTATACTAATTATCGCATCATTAAATTATTATTCAAAAGTATTGTTTCGGCGTGGCGATATCGTATAAAAATTGAATAAAAATTTGGATCTTAAATATTAAAAACTACTATATTACTATAAATATTAACTACTAATATATCGTTTCGGCCATTTCAGCAGTTTCGGATATTTCTCTTGTGCAATCTAATAATAAAATATATGTTTCGCAGGTTCGGGTTGAAATAACGTTAATCTACACTATATTACATAATTTACTACTATAAAAAAATTTAGATCTTTGACTGGCATCACATTACATTACACAAAAAAATCATTGGATCTAAATTCATTACACAAGTCCGTGATATTTGACAAGTGATCGTTAGCTAATAATAATTATCAAAAAAAACGGTAGACATCCTACATTTTTGATATTTTGCCTAATAGTGCATCAAAAATGTAACTTTATCATCACCTTATGCTCCGCACAATAATTTATTTATTTATTTACTTGTATAAAAAGGTAAATTTATATTTTGAATAACAAGAAATTTTTTCACACCACAAACAACTAATGTTAAATTAATGCATAATAAATTCCTTCATTGTTTAAATTAAATATTATAAAATAAATAAGCTAATAATTAAACAGTCATTAAATTAATGAATAATTTTATGTATGGTTAAATCATTTTTGTATATTGTTAAATAATATTAAATAAATAGTATAATGTTTCATTTAATATTAAATCATCAATAAATTGATTTGATGTAACTTTTATTGAAATCTAGACAATACATACAACATGTGATAAGAAACAATTCATTATTCAATTAACATTTCAATTAATGAACCTATTAATGATTAAATGAAACTTTTATTATAATCAAACGACATAATTTTTTAGATGTAAATTAATTCTTAGAAATTTCCAACCATCGAAACCAATACTTTGAAATTTTATTAATAATGGAATCAATCTTTAGATAAAAATATTTTTAAATTTAATGAATTATTATATAATTATTACATACAATTATAATGTACATAATTATTACATATTTTCATATTGCTATCAATGAATTTTATCGATTTATATTTTTTTAGTCAATTAAGAAATATTATTTTGATTAAAGATTGCTTTTCTTTCCAATTTATATTTTTTCATACTAAAGCACATCTTCGATTACATGAACACAATTTGTAGTTCCGGTCGGGGTTGTGGTTCAGATTGGACTTGTGGTTCGGGTTGAGGTTCAAGCTCGGATTCAGGTTGTGGTTGTGGTTGTATCATTTTGTTTTTTCGTGGCCTTCCTCGGCTACGTTTTTGCTGTGGTGATGGTTGTTGAGCTTTAGGTTGAATGGGTTGAATATTTTTTCGTGGCCTTCCTCGACCGCGTTTTTGCTGTTGTTGCTTCTGTTGTGGTTGTTGTGGTTGTTGGGGTTGTTGGAGATGTTGATAATTTAATTTTTTTCTGTATTGGGCTCTTGTTAGAACCATTTTCAAAAAATGTATTCTTGTTTTTAAATTTATTTAAAAGTGTGAAGAGAAATAGATTGTTTTAGGTTTCGGTAAAAATTATTTCGTCTTGTTTAGATTTAATAGATCTTATAAGATTTTAAAATGAAAAAAAAAAACAAAAAAAAATGTTTTTAAAAAAAATTAAAAAAAAATATTCGTTTTTTTTCAAAATTTATTAACTAATTTTCAAAATATACATTAAAATGTTTATTGTTTGTTTATTTGTTTACTTCAGATTTAATAAGGAAAATTTTAACATGTATTGTTCTTTTTAAAATAATAAAAAGTGATTGTTTTTTTCCAAAATAATCATAATAAATATAATAAAAATGTAAATAATACCATATTATGATTAGTGTACTTCTGATGTAATTACTGGTAATCATATTTATTTGATTACACAAAAAAAAACTTTTCATCGAAGTAGACACATAAATTTTTGTATAAGAATTCCCTAAAAATTAAATATTATGATTTGATTCGTCTTATCAAAAAAGGACTTGTAATAATTCATGAAGTAATATTATTATATTTATATATAATTTTTTGTGTTACGGAATATTAATAACGAAATTTTGTATTATCGGTACCATTAATTTTTCCAGAAATAACCAAAACTTTCGAAATTTTTTTTTTAAAAAAAACTCTAAAAATTTATCTTTGCTATTCATTTGAAGCATACCATACCATATTCTTTCTCTCCTAACACTTTCCTACAACAAATCGTGCAAACCTTACTTCTAATTAAAGATATTTATAGGTTATAAAAAAAACGTGTGATCCTATAAATTTCAAATTTAATTATCTTCTATTCAGTAGATTCAAATACCCAAAGATTTAACAATTAAGATTATTAGTACTATTATCTATATTAATTTTATTTTTATCAGATTGGTTATTGAATTTTATACAATGTGTACTGACAATTATTTAAATTTTTTATTGATAATTATTTGATTAGATAATTGTTAACATGATAGAGAAAATAAATATTGATATGATATTATTATATTTATGATATTATTGTAGTATCATGAAAATATTCAACCTATATTCGGAAAAATATGTAAATATCTTTCTGAAAATTTTTTTAAGAATCAGGAAAAAAAATATATAAAAAGAAACAAAATAATTTATTTCGAATTTTATACTTTTTTTCAACTCAATTTAAAAACAATAAAAGAAACTTTCATTCAAGATAATTATAATGAATGTAATAAACTGGCAAATTAATCAATTCAAACAACAGCAACAACAACAGCAACTGCAACAACAATCACGACAATAACAAATTCCACAACAATATGTTGTAAACGACTCATCTAACAACTCAATTTGCGGGCTATGTCTAGATACCAACAAGAAATTGAGACAGCTGTTGAGACGAATCATAAAAATTCATTGACAATACTAAAGTACTTGCAGCTGTAGTAATAGAAGTGAGGAGTCATATCTAAGGTAAAGGAATCAAAGTCGTCGAAATTATTTTTCAAATTTTATTTTTTTAAAAAAAAAATGAATAAATAATAATAATGTAATTTTATTATAATTGAAGGAGCTGATAATAATAATGAAAAAAAAGATAATAATAATAATATCAAACAGCAAAAACTGCACAACAACAACTACGATATTTGCAATTCGACCAAATACCATAAAAATTTCGAATAAAAATTTCACAACAACAAAATGTTTTAAATTACTGGGTTTCGAAATTTTTGGCTACATCTGCTGAGCCAATTGTGATAACCCCTAATGTAACATTGAAATCGTGGAGGTATTTTCATATTTTTTTTAATAAAAATTATAAATTATGATCGAGGATAGTGACCCAGGAGATGCAAACGAAATAAGATGGCAAGTAAGTAACATTTATCAAGAATATTTATTATTTTATATTTTAATATAAATTTTCATTTTTACATTCGAGTTTTTGCTTAATTAAGTTGTGGTTGTTCCCGATTGAAATCTTTGCTATTTTTTTTTGTAAAATGGATATGAAATTTTATTCTTTCGTTTATATTTTTTAATATATTTTACCTAAATGAAATAATTATTTCTTGTGAATAATTGAAGAATTGAATTATGGTTTTAAATTAATTTTTTTTTTTATGGAAGTTATAATAAAATTTTAAACAAAATTCAGAATACTACAATGTTGGTCATATAAGTGCAATTAATAGTGAGGAATATTCAACTAAGCGAACAGTGAATAATTGGCCATTCTTTTAATTTTGTAAAAAATAGCTGGTAAGCTTAAAAGGGAAAAATTCCAGTTATTTAGGTTCATCAATCACTCAAAAATTATTTAATTTATTTCTTGTATTAAATAATTATCTTAACTTCATATCTTCATTTTAACCAACTGAAGGTATATTATTTTTCACCAGCACGGTTAAAATTTGTTATTTGATACTTTTCTTGTAAGTATGCTTACAAAGTATATTTATGAAATCTTGGTGTTGATATAAATTTTATGCAAATATTGTATTATTTAAAATTGAATGTTCAATTTTATTAATTTTATTTTAGTTCAATTTAAAGGGTATCACTCACCACCGGGAAAAATTACATAACTCTTTAACCCTAACTTTGCCCATGTAAATTTAATATTTTGCTCAGTGGTGACTGGTGAGCTTTAGCAATTTCCCAATTTAAATTACAATTCAAAACTGAAAATTAAACTTTTTGCATATAAAATTAGATAATATGTGCTAAATTATCTAATACTTTATATCTGCTGATGCAATCCCATGAAAAATATAAAACCCTACCCATCCTTATTTTGCAAAACCTACTAACTGTTTCCAAGATTAAAGGAGTACTAACAAAAAAATGAATAAAAATATAAAATAAGTTATAATAAAAAGTGTTATATGTATCGAATCATATGTTGAGTTCCGTGAAAGTTTCTAACATCACTTGAAAAACAATTTTTTGGTAATTTTATCAGACTTAAGAGATTAAATAGATTGAATTCATTGTATTGCCTCAACATTTAATACAATTCAAATTCCACTTCAATTAAAGTCATAAAGGATTTTTCATTAGATTAAATCTGATGTGTCCTTTCACCATCTATGGTCATTTAAATCATAGTTGCAAGTGAGATGGTTTCAATGTCTAAGAGATACTGCTAATCCTTATTTTGTTGATAATTATAAATAATTCAATTATTTTAATTATACTAATAATGCTCATAATACTGTGACAATGCAAATTGGTAAACATGTGAATTATCATGGGGGATAAATATTTGTGATACTAAGTGTAGCAAATCAAAAGATAATGTACAAGAATGAAGAATGATATACAAAGATGAAGGATGAAGTACAAAGGAATGATGGGTAAATGTAAATGAAAGTGAAAAAGTATAAAAGAAGTGCTTGTTAGAGACAAGAACAGTAGTTTTTTATATATTTTGAATATTAATATTATTAGATAGAAAAGTAATCTTCCTTCAGGAACAGTAAAATAGATATATATCGATTATAATATTTCTGTTATTGAATGATACTTTACTTTTAAATTGTAATCTTTATATTTTAATAAACTTATCTTTTGTATCACAATACTGTGAAATATTGTTAAATATTATTTGATACTGTGTTAATATTTTACTTTACCTTTCTCATTGTGGCTTCAGATTAAAAATAAAGAATTAAAGGATTATATTATATTCTATTATCTGTTTCAAGATAGGCAAGTTTGAATTGACAGATTACTTGACCTACAGGTAAATAGAGTGTATTATTGATTAAGTTCATGTGAAACAAACTTTGAAACTGATTTATGAAATTGTTTGTAGTACTCTGCACAGATGTGACAATGCCAATGTTTACATAGGTCAAATACAAAAGATATGCCATACTGAAGAGGAATTTTAATTTTAGCAGATTTATAATATAAGATGCAATAGGACAGTTAATTGTTACTGATTTTTAGCTAATTTATAGTATAGGAATTACCATTCAGTACAGTGACTCTTTTGTATTTGACTAGTGTCAATAGATAGTTAAAATTATAAGATAAGTCAAAATACCATAAGATAGTAAAGGAATTATATAAAATATCTATATTATTTATATATATATTTGTTCAGATATCATTTTTAAAGTACATTCATTATATCATAAATAAAATATATGATAGTATAAATTTGAAATTATATACAGAATATATTGTAGTGACACAAATTGGTAATCAGGTGAAATGTCACGGGGGATGATAATTAGTAGCACTAGATGAATATTCAGGTAATTGTTATCTCAGATGAGATGAACAGGCAAGGATAAAGTAAAAAGATGAAGAATGAAAGATGAAGGATGATGCACAAAGGATGAAGGTGAAGTACAGTGGGTGGTCAAAAGTCACCAGACAGTTGAACATTTTTAAAAAAATTACTAAATTTAAAATGCTAATTGTGTTATAACGAGTGATCTAAATTGCACAAACTTTTTTTTATTAGATTATTCTAAAGCAGAGCTATCATATAATATATTTTTTGTTAAAATTAAATGTCTACACGTAGAGAAATTATACTTCAAATAAAATTGACAAAAAATGATAAATTTAACATTTAATTGTTGTCCATATCAGAATCGATGGATTTTAAAGATAGATGTCAACTATCTTATATTGAATTGTAGCCAGAAACAATATCTATAATTTTAATTAGTAGAATTTTTTATAGTATTTATTGAAAATTTAGACTTTACTTAGACGTGAATAATTTATTTATTTATTTATTTATTTATTTATTTATTTATTTATTTTAGCAGACTGGCGTGATCTCATATAGTTTCCTTTAAGTATTACAAAGAATATGATGAAATTACATTAGCACATCTAATAATACGACTTAACCTAACACCATATAAAATTAGATTTTACAATTAGTAAGTTTCAACTGCTACAGTGCCACTAACATCTATTCTTAATAAATTGAAAATAAACTTAAAATTAAGGTATCTATCTGT